CAAATAAATAAATAAAAATCTTTTTTAAAAAATAAATAAATAAAAAATTCTACCCAAGTCATAAACAAAGAGCCCTTGAGAGAGTCCCAGGATCCTGAGCTCTTCCCTCACCCCCTGCTCTGGGGTCCCACCTGGGACTGACTGTGCCAGGTGTGAGTCTGGAAAAGCTGACTTGGAGGATGAGCGAAGCACCTGGCCCTGAACTGGGTTGGGAGGGGCAGGCATGAGGTCCCAACAGGATGGTGGTATTCGGGGCTGTTTGAAGTGGGGTTTGGTGATGATGAGGTCAGCAGTCTAAGTGACCACACAAGTAATACCTGCCTTTTGCTTAGGTAAGAGTGTGACGTTTGGATTATTTTCCCCAGGGCAGTGGCCTTGAGGATTCTTAGCTTGCATTATCCTCTTAGGTGGCCAGGGTACCCGGGAGGGATCTGCCCTCCAGTTGAAGGGCCCACTGGTCTAGGTGGGCACCAAGCCCAGCAGCGACACATGGAAGAGAGAACTGAGAGAGAAGTGTGTACCAGGGCCTGCTGCCTGCGCCTTTCTCTTCCTTTTCCTCCCTTCCCCATGAGCTGTGGGAAGAAGTTTCTATCTCTCATTGCATGTCCCTGGGTAAAGAGCATGAACCAGCCTCACAGGGGCCTGAGGGGACTGCTAGAGACCCTCCTCAGCTAAACAGGCAATTCTGTATGCTTGCATTTCAGTTGAAATGAGCACCCAAGAGAATATTCTCAGGAATGGCAGGCAGGAACAATTCCAAATAGGGTCTCCTCGGCATTCAACACCCATGAATGGCCTTACTATTATTTATCATTTATTATGCAGCACAAATTGTGTGTAGATGGGGAGATCAAAGACAATGCTTGGAAAAGATAGGGAAACATACAGCAAATGGGGAGGGAAGATGTATTTGCTTCATTTTTAATGAGCTCAGGAGGCTAAGGACAAGCTAGCTGTAACCTACATTGCTGGCCGCTCTCATCTGAGGATGTGTTTCCAGAGAGCTGGTCTATTTCAGAATGACAGCCACTGCCTCCCATCATCCAGGGTTTCATGATTTTATTAATTGGGCAAGGTCATTGGACACCTGTGGAAGAAAGGTGGATAATGGTATGCACCACTTCGGTGTCAGTTTTTTTGTAGGGGCAGGATTGTCTGGTTTCCTCAGCTTCTTGTGGCTTTTCCTCTAATGGGCAGGGGCTGGGATGACCCAGGGTCACCTACAACTTGCCTCTAGAAAGCTAAACAACGTTCGAGGGCTGTTAAGGGCACTGGCTGAGACAACAGGGCGCAGAGCGGAAGCCACACAGAGCTGGACCCTGGCTTGGCTACTCATTAACCTTGGGTCTTGGGCAGGAGGCAGTCTCTGTGTCTTAGAGCCCAACTCGAAAAGGAGTGGGAGATGGTGACCTCCCCCTTTGGTGCGGAGATAGTAAGAGGCATCCTCTCTGCAGCCTAGACGTTACTGGGTACATGTCATTGCTGAATCAATAGTCACTGTTGTTTATGATCACTCACCTAGTATGCAGGAGGCATTATTTAATACTTAAATAATGAGTACTTGATTCTGCCTCCTCCCTCCCTCTCTCCCAGATCGGTCTAGTCACCCAGCTTTGTCCTACTGGCCTGTCCACTTGCCTCTGCCACCGTCACCCTCCCATCTGCACGTTGCCACAGGAGATGGTTTTTAATTACAGTTTCTGGTCCGTTACCTCCATTTCAGATCCCTTGGTGCCCCCCAAGACTTCTAGGTAAAGTGCAAAACCCTTCACAGGGTTGCAAGCACTTCACATGCAGACCCCATGTGTCTCCAGTTTCCTCTGACCCTCCCTCCCTTCTGCCCTCCCACCTGAAATCGAAATCGGAGCTCCAGCCTCTGAATTTCTCTCAGATCTCCCGATGTTCCACTCCCTCCTGCTGCTGAGCCTTTGCACATGCTGTTCCCTTGCAGGCACCCTCCTCCCACCCCACCCGGCCTCATTCTAGCTCTGACCTCAGGGCATTGTGACTGCCTGCATTCTTGCCTGGGGCCCAACCTTGAATGGGGAGCTTGCTGAGGCCACAGGCCTTGTCTGCCTGGCTGACCGCTGACCCCCAGGGCTTTGCTGGGGGCTCTCATTCCTGAATGAGTGAGTGAGCGAGAGAAGAGATAGACTTGGAGTCTAGACCCGCATCATGATACGGGTTGAGGATCTGCCGCAGTCCTGTGGTGGGTGCCAGGGAGAGGGGCTGCGGTCTGGATGGGCCATGGCAGCTGGGATGCCAGGGAGGAGGTCCTGGGGCCCACCGCTGGTGAGGAGCTGCTGGATGCTCCCTGCTCCCAGCTGGACGCCCACGGTTGGAGCCGGGTCTGCCCGCAGGATGTGGGTTTGGAAGCAGACATTTAGGCTTTCCAAGGAGGTGGCGGGTGGGGGGGCATGGGCTTCGGGGACCAGGCCTGGAGCTCCCTGCCTTCCCCACCACTCTCTCCACTAACCCCCGGCGCACCGATGGAGTCCAAGCAGGCTGTGAAGTTGGAAGAACGGCATGTGCCCCCAGCGGGCAGGATGGGTGGGCAGAGGGGTGGCGCTCGGCGGCTGCTGTAGGTGCCTGTGGCCGAAGCCAAGCGTGTGCCGAGCTCGGGCGGGGCCTGCCGTCGTCCCTTCAAGGGGCCCCAGCACGGAGGGCAGTGGGCAAAGCCACGGCAGAGGCCACGTCCTGCAGCTCCCCCTGCAGAGCGGAGAGGCGCTGAGGAGTCCGTGGCCAGGCAGACACAAGCCTTCCCTGCCTCTGCCTTGGGAATGTAGGAACCTACTTATGTTTGAGTGCGAGATGTTTCACATGCCCGGTGCCGGCAGCAAACCGAGTTTAGTTTTCTCAGTTTTACTTTGCACTTTAATTTTTATCCACAGAATGTTATAGTCCATGAGCTGAGTTTTGATTTGGTTAAGCTTCTCAGAAGTAGGAGATGCCTGGGAGGGCTGTGTGTGTATGTCTTTTACTTAAACAGCAAAGCAACATTTTCAAACATGACACGAACCAGAAATTCCTGTGCCCACATCTCCCCTGGCTCTACGTGTGCTTCTAAATATTCGGAACCTTCAAGCCCTCCAAGATTTTTTTTTTTAAGATGTATTTATTTATTGTTTTAGAGAGGGGGGAGGGGTGGAGGCAGAGGGAGAGAGAGAGAATCTCAAGCAGACTCCCCACTGAGCGAGGAGCCCGATGCGGGGTTCCATCTCACGACCCTGAGATCAGAACCTGAGCTGAAATCAAGAGTCCGGCTGAGCCACCCAGGCGCCCCAGCCCTCCAAGATTTTTGAGCCTTTCTTTTTTTTTTTTTTTCAAGATTTTATTTATGTATTTGACAGAGAGATAGAGAGCACAAGTAGGCAGAGGGAGAGGGAGAAGCACCCCGATTTCTGAGCCTTTCAATAGCATGATGTTATAAATAATGCCAGGTCAGGGCACCTGGGTGGCTCAGTCGTTAAGCGCCTGTCTTCAGCTCAGGTCATGATCCCAGGGTCCTGGAATCGAGCCCCACATCGGGCTCCCTGCTCAGCGGGGAGCCTGCTTCTCCCTCTCCCACTCCCCCTGCTTGTGTTCCCTCTCTTGCTGTGTCTCTCTCTGTCAAGTAAATGAATAAAATCTTAAAAAAAAAATAAAAGAAATAATGCCAGGTCTTCAATGGTATAGTCAGGGACCCTAACGAGGGTGCTCTAACAGGGGAAGAGCAGTGTGTCTGCAGTCCTATGGCAGGCAGAAGGGCCTGGATCATCAAAGAGGGTTATCGATGGGCTCTCCCAATCAGGCAGACGGTCCTCAACCATATGGAGGAGAGGTGCCAAAGGCCCACACTTTTGGCACCGTGGAATGTTCTCTTCGGATTCAAGAGACAGCTAGGAAAAGCACAGCATAATCTTTGTCCACCCCAGGGTTCTTCTGTGCTTTGGAGGTACCTGAAGCACATCGATCTGCTCAGCATTGCCAAGCCATTAGATAAGGATATTCCTTACTTTGCATAAATACTTTTGGTTCTTGGCATATCTGTAACAGTTCGGTTGACTCCCAATGGAAGCTTCAAAAAGCCAACGTCACTACAAAATATCAGGTCCTCTGGTGTTCAGGTGGGAGGAACACCTCCTTTTTTGATGACTCAATTCAGGGATCAATTCTGCCCCTCATCTGATTGTAGGGCTCGGAGCGAGCTCCAGAGAGTGTCTGTGTCTCCATTTCCTTGTGTGTATAACAGAGAGAGAGAAAAAAAAAATCAACCTTTCCAACTTTCCAGTGCTATTAGGAAGAGACAGTGAGAGGCAGAATTGGAAGTGAATTGGAAAATTTGCAAGGAAGGCACAAGGCCGATTCCCACAAACCCCAGCAGTTTGAGTGGAGTCATGGTTCTTGGGAAATGTTTATGAGCTTCCACAGGAAGGCACGAAAAGAGCTCATTTTAAGTAAAACTCTTTCAGTTACACATTTCCTAAGGACCCCCATGCATCTTTACTGGGTCTTTGAATGAGCGTACTTACTGTAAATAGTTAATTTTTTACATTGGCCGGTGTTTGACCGTTCGAGACAAGCAATGGGTTTATTATAGTTTTGCGAGTCGATTTGATGATTCCACAGTGAGACTTCGGTAGATTAGTCTAATATTCTACCTTAGGCATATATATATATATATATATATTTTTAATAGAAGTAGCAGCGATGGCTAGAGATGACAAATCCCTCCGGGTAAGCACGTGGCGGATAGTCAATGACCGCGAGCCTCATGGCCGGGTCTCTGGTGCCCTTCCCTTCGCGGAGCTCCTAACCCCTCTTGGTGCTTCCTCTGCTTCCTCCCCATTTTTTTAGAATACCAGCAGTTATTCCACAGCCATGACGGAGCCCAAGTCCGTGTGCGTCTCGGTGGATGAGGTGGTCTCCGGCCACACGGAAGCCTCCGAGACGGACCTGCTGAACGGACATCTGAAAAAGGTGGACAACAACCTCACGGAGGCCCAGCGCTTTTCGTCCCTGCCGCGCAGGGCGGCCGTGAACATCGAGTTCAAGGACCTCTCCTACTCGGTCCCCGAAGGACCCTGGTGGAGGAAGAAAGGTAGGGAGGGCTGCTCTGTGCGCTGGGGGAGGACGGCGCCTGTTGGGGAGGCGGCTGGTGGGCTGGGACAGTTGGGGGCTGGAAGTCGGGAGTCTGCTCAGTCTCGTCGCTGCCGCTGCGGCCCATTTCTTGACTGGCTCTGTGCCCGACTTGTCCTCACCTCTAACGCGAACAGGCTGGATGAGAGGACCCCAGATTGATGGTGGCTCTTCGGTCCTGGTAGGAAGACAGGGACTCTCACGAAGGCCGGCCAGCATCTGCTTGTGCTGGCTGCCAGCGTGGGATCGGCCCTCTTCGCTGGATGCCCCTCACGTTGGTCTTTCGAGAGGACACGATTTCTTACTGTTCCGGAGGGCAAAGGAAGGGAGGCGCTTCTCCCAAGTTTGAAGTCCAAAGTAGCCAGTGACCTAGAGCGGCCTCTCTGGCCGCCGATCATCTACATTATGGGTGGTGCCGATGGGCTATAAATAGACTGTTGTCAAATGAGCCACGGAAATGAAAATAGAAGAGAGAGAGGATGGGACTGGGAGGTTCTGGAGTCTGCCGCGCCGTTTGCTGCGTGGTCACGGGATTTGGTGACCGATGCCGGTATTTGGAGTTTTTTTAGCCGCCTGGATGTTCCTGTGCTAGCTCGAGATTTCCAAAGTGTGTAGAGTTAATGCTTCCCTGGGTTGGTGTTTTTTTTTTTCCAGCCTGACCTATGTGCCCATCCTGCACCCCTCTTTCAGGCGGGTGGGGGGGCTGTTGGGAGAGGGCACATCCCACGTCCCCCAGGAACAACAGCCCATGGCTTCTAATGAGCCCTTTACAACCACGGGGACATCTGTGAGGAACCTGGAACAAGGACAGTGAGCCAGGTACCACTGGCATATTGTATTTTAGGACTCTCAACTGAAATCCAGAGTCAGACCTTCCTTCTTTTCAAGGCAGACCCACCAAGACTTCTTTAGATTTCATGTTCCTGTCTTTTCCCGCTTTACCTTCATTTTGTTCTCCTACTCCCTTGAAGCTAAGTTGTTGAGATTGTTGGCATGGACGCTCTGGGCTTCCTTGTGACCATGGTGCTGGACTCTTGATGGACTGGCCCCTGGGACCTGCTCGCCGCGTTGGTTACCGGATGACTTTATGTCTGTCTGTACAAGTAGGAACACATCCTGAGCTTTATCAGTGGCCGACTGTATGTTGCCATCTGATACTTAACATTATCAGAGTTTGCCAGCCAGTGTTGTAAGGAAAGAAAGCCCATGGCAGGCTCAGGGTTGGGCCCATTCGTGTGAGCCCATTGAAGTTTCAACACAGGCTTACAGCCTTTTCCTTCTCACCGTGAAAGAAAAACCTTAGGGAAAAACTCGCTGAGCCACCAGGAGGACCTTGCTGTTTTGGCTCGGTTGGTCTAGACAGACAAACTGCGGCAGGCCTTCGAGGGGCAGAGGTAGATTCCGGCACGTCTGTTACGTGTGGCCGCGGGAACGGTCGTGAGGCTTGGATGGGTGTCCTGGATAGTGAAGGTGCCATGCAGCGCAGGCGTGCAAACACTGGAAAACGGTGGCAGAATCTCGGTTTGACATCCAACACAGCAAGTGTTCACGGTGTGCAAGTGGAGAACAGCATTTCCTATTAGGTAAGGGGCTTGTGAATCCCATACTCGACGTGTTAGAGCTGGTCCCGCTAATTGTCCAAGCTAGCCAGCGGTGACGGCCTCTTCATTAGTGAGGGAGGGGCCTCCCCTGCCCGTTCCCAGCAGCCCCCTTGGAAGCTCCACCCAGGTGGCCTCCAGACAGACACTTGCCCTACAATAACCTGCGTGGGCTCAGGAGGGGAGGAGCAGGAAGTGAGCCCCACAGGACCCGCCGGTGAGTCACAGATGGTTAGAGCCAAAGGGGAAATGGGCATGATCGGCCTGGTGTGTCCCGGTGGCTGGCTTCTGAACCAGTGGGGCCTGATCTCTCTGTCTGGCTTCCTTCCCTGCCCCCCTCAGCAGCACCTGTTTCCTCTCTGCTCCCCCAGCCCTGCCCCCACTGGGCGCCCCATCATTTCCCTTGTTCTCAGTACCCTGCAATTCAGAATTTAGATGGCTTTCCACTCCCCATAAATTTAGGGTGGGAAATGCTTCTCAGGAAAGGAAACTGAGTGGTGGAGGGCTTTGCCCATGACCCTGAGCTCGTCAGCCAGGCCGTTTCTAACTCTGCGGCCCGCCTGGGTGCCCATGCCTCGGCTGATGCAGGGCCTCAGGGAAGCAGCGCCGCCCCTCGAGGCTTGCTGCCCACGCGGCTTGGCGGGTTGGCTGCCCCGTTAGGCTGCAAGCTGCAGCCACGGCCAGAGCTTCCAGAACGAGGGAAGGTAGCTGCTGATGCAGCTCACGCTCACTGCGTCATCACCATCAGGCTCTTAAGCGTTACATCCAGTGGGCTCGGGACTTGGGGACTGTATCTCCCCAACTAAGAGGACCCCAGGACAAATCATAAAAGTAGGCATGAAATCTGGAACCCGTCATCGGGGCTGCCCCAGGAGAAGTCCCTGGGCTGGTACCCGTGAATCTGCCTTTCCTACCCGGTTCACCACATCCTTATTGGCGAGACCCCTCCTTGCTGGGGTCCCGCTCCTTTGCCCTCAGTGTGGGATCCTGCCTTTCCTGCTTTTGTTCCTCTGATTGCTGGCAACTGCCTCAGCCCCCAGCCATGATTCGGCTAAGCTGAGAAGTCCCACCCAGCCACTCTGCGCATCCCAGTTTCTTACTGTGGCCATTGTGAATCTGGCACCACCTCTGTGTGAGGCCACGTGTGGCCAGCCTTCGGGGCAGGGGCTCTTTCTCTTACCTCTCTCGCCATATTAGTTTTGCTGACTTTTTTTTATTTTTAAGGTTTATTTCTTTTAGAGAGAGAAAGAGAGAGAGCGGCAGTGGGGGGAGGGACAGAGGGAGAGAGAATCTCAAGCAGACTCCGCACTGAGCATGGACCCTGAGATCATGACCTGAGCTGAAACCAAGAGTCAGACTTAACCGACTGCACCACCCAGGCGACCCTGTGGGGTTTTTAATTGTTTAGAATTCAGCTTTATGTGTTGAACTCCCCGTAGCGATCACACGGCCTGGATGTCCTGCATTTCCGGGACGTGAGTTCCTGGAGGGCCCGGCCCCAGAGAGCCGCAGTGATGGTGCAAGGTCAGAGCCAAGGCTGGACCCGTGCGCGGTCCAACTCCTGCTCCAGGTCTCTTTCCATCACAAAGACACTGGGCCGCTCCGTACATTCCAGGGCAGCCTCTTTCTCCCACGGCTTCTCCCAGAACCAGGCGCTGGGACCCAGCTCGACACAGAACGCTGCAGCAAAGCTTGGTGATGCGAATGGAATAATATTATAAACTCCTACACAATCGTTTTAAAGAAAGAGAGCGTCCTAATCCTTGGAAAAAAGGTGGCAGGTGAATCCGTGACATCATTGGTAAGATGTCAGGCGCTGGTTCTTTAAAACCCTTGAGCGGGACGATTGCCAAGCATTGAATATGGAGTTTAACAAACATCTCTACATTTTCAATTGTAGTAACGTTTTCACCATATGATTAATGAAGTCTTTGGAGGAAAAACTAGATCATATAATAGATTCCTAGTAGAGAACATAATTGTGAAAGAAGTGTTCTCAGGAGAACAGAGTACGCCCCAAGGATAATTTCGCCAGCTTCTGATGCAGTAATTACTTTCCCCCAAGGAGTGCACTCACATAGCACGAGCTGACGGGACAAATGATCCCGGGAAGAGTGTGGACGTTGGCCCGGTCAGACTAGCCACTGTGTCGGGATGTGTTGGGACAGAGGCCCTCAGTCACCCTCAGTGTGACTCACTTTGAAAGCGGCTTCCGTTCTTGTAAAGAAGACACAGTGTTGGGAATATTTAGGACCCCTGCTTAAGAACAGAATCCACATCATGAAATTCTCAGGTGAACATGCCGTGACGAGGACGTTTTACACCTAAACAGCACTTCCAAGCTTTCAGAGCTGGTTCACACAGTGCTCTCGTCAGGATGGGACCCATCACAACGAACAAGAAGAGTACTTGGGGTACTGGATAACGCTGCTCCCCAAGGAGACCCGGGTAGTTTTCATCTGGAGAATTAAAGCAGTTGGTGAGGCCACTTGGCTCAGGGGCCAATTCTGCCCTCTCTCCCCATGGGATGCATGAGGTTCAGAAGCAGGGCCCAGGTCCCAGGAGCACAGAACATGGCAATTGAAAAGCGGGTCTGTACAATTTGGGGCCAAGACCCAACGAGACACCTGGTAAGCCCCTGGCCCCAAGGCAGCACCCCTCGGACCACCGTAGCCTCGGGGTGTTATGCCCCGTTTGATGAAACCATGAGGCACCGCCTTGATCGTTAATGCTGATAGATTTCCCTTTCAACTGATCTGTGGGGACGTCAGTCCCCTTCGCCATTCATAAGGACCCAGAAAGGATCTCCTGAGCCTTTGGAGAAGCTCCAGCCATCCTGTCCCCTCACCAGGGAGGTGAGCTGCTGTGTATGGCATGCTTTCACACAGACAGGTGACATGATTCTTAGAAATTAAATACACCTCCCATGATTACCTGGTGACGAAGTTCAGGTTGAGAAGGAAAGGAATCCTATCTGGGGCTTTAGAGAGTTTTCTTTACCATTCCTGAGCCTGGCACTTGTCTCAGCATGGTGATTCTGATGGAATGGAATAGCACGGGCCTGCTCTGGAACCCGACCTCCCAGCCTCGGCCTCGCTAAATAACCGGGAAGCAGTTAAAACATTCTGGGTGCATCCACATCGGATTATCTGTCCTGCTTTGTGTCTAAGCTTTAAAAATGCGTTTCTCAAATTAAAGTTTGCTTTCTCTTAATTTCCAAAGCTACCTCCCAGGGCCTGCAATGACAGACTGGCTAAAATGAGTGGAATGTGCCACTAATAAATCCCTTTCAGGAATTCCATTAAGGGAAGACTGGATCCCAACCAAGCGCTGGCTGGCTTGATGCAGCCCACAGGGGCAGGGATGGAGAGGGAAGGCCGCGAGAGGAGGACTGTGGGGATCCCACGGCAGCTGTAGGTTTGCAGAGGGCTGGGGCTGCTCAGGTTCAAGGGGGCTTATATATTCCCCAGGATGAATGAATGACTTTTGTGCTTCTTGGGAACCATCACGCTAAGGTGGATTTTCTTTTGGGTAAAGAGAAGATTGTTTCTAATACTCTGCCTTTGTCTTTATTTGAGGCTGTAGCCAGTCTTCTAGTGCAGCGTGGTGAGATTTTACCTTGCTCAGAAGGGCTCCTTGCTTGAGGCTGGGGCGTTTACAAAGGAAGCCCAATGGCCCTATGTTGCCGTGGAGAGCCCAGACGCTGGAGCGCTCCTCCCTTCCCCTCTGGGGCCACTTCTTAGGTCCTCAGTACTTGGTGGCTCCCTGGGGCAGGCAGGCAGGCCGGCCACCCGCTCAGGCCCTTCGGTGATGAGGTCTTCTGGAACAGTTTTGATCTTCTGCTTCCTAGGCTTTGAAAGAGGCTTTGGAAACATGTGGAGGATGGGCCAGCTCCCCAACAGAATCATAACAGAGGAATGCAGAGTGACCATGATCAATACCAGAGGGGTTGCTAGTTTACGAGGAGAACGTTAACATCCAAGAGTCTCAATGCTCCCCTTCTCGATACCCTGCATGGAAGCCCAACCATCCCCAGCTGGGACCTGCCATCAGGTTCACAAGGCAAAGGTGTGGCACCGTCAGGCGGATGGCCCCTGCAGACGTGGCTTCGGTGGCCCAGCCAACATTGGCCTTGAGGTTTCCTTTTCTCCTCCGCTTCCATGGCCGGCCACCCTGTCACCTTCCCATCTGCAGCTTCTCTGTTCAGGCACGCTTATCTTTTGCCATTTTCCCAGAGAGTCTGCTTGTTCTGCCATCTGGTCTCCTTGAGGAGACTTTGCAGGGCTGTGCTCTGTTCAGTGGGGTGTTGCTGTCAGTCTCTCTTTTTGAAGACATTCTTGCCACCCTCATTTTCACCTGCCAGGTGGGTGCCCTCCTACCCTCCTTTAACACCCCAGATATGTTCATATCTTGAGAACTGCATGTTCTTGAGCTCAAGTCCTCTGTTATAAACCAGAACCTAATCTTCGGAGGCAAAGAAATAACCCAAGGTGACATTTTGCTGAACACGAAACCATTTCTGTTGTTTATAAATTGGCAGAAAGAAACGTTTAGTAACCATACACCTGCTCTTTTTGAGTTCAGTTCTGGAATCAACAGATTTGCTTATTTAAGGAACAAAGGTAACCACGTAGTCAGGGTAAATCTGACCCGTCCCATCCAGGGGTTTGTAGAAAGGAGGTGCATTCTCTATCAAATCCGTGCTGACCGGCTTCCAAAACCTTTGTAGGAAAGCTTACCTTCAAATGAAATCTATTTAATACTGAGTGTTTGGCTCATAATATGAGAAAAGGCACCAAGAGGAGTTTTCAAGGTCAAGGGTGGAGGCTGGCGTGCCTGCAGGAGCCAGTCTGACTCCAGCCATTAGCTTCACTTCTCACTCTTTGGCTGTGTTGTCAGCCACCTGCGGCCCGCTCTGTGAGCGGCATTCTGTGTCAACATGAAGACATGCCAGAGTGACTCTAAGACTCTTGTTATGTCCAACTGAGACCTATATTTAGAGTCCGAATCTTGGAGGCCCACGGGGGCCTCAAAGCTCCCTTAGTCTGACCTCCCTCCGGTGGAGCAACTCTTCTTGCTGTTTCCCCACCAACGGGTGGCCGGCCTCGGTCTGGGCGCTTGCAGCAGGCAGGAACTGCCACCTCCCCGCGCAGTCAGGTCCTTGCTCGCACATGGTGATTCTTAGAAAAGGCTTCTGTCTGTGGAGCTGAAACTGAATTTGAGTTCATCTGTTGATCCCCGTTCCACTTTTTGGAACTTTGCAAAAACACTTATCATCTTGTTCTTGAAATAAGCTCACAAATTAGGAAGAGAAAAGCCTAACCAAGTACAAAACAATAACCGCATGTATCAAGACCCAGGGCCACCTGAGAAGGAAGGCACAGAAGCATGTGGCCCCTGGAGGAAAGGAGGCTCGAGTCCGCCTTTGGGCGGGCATCACCACGGCATCCTGGGGGGCAGGGCAGTGAGCAGAGCTCGTGCTCTCCGTCCCTCAACTGAGGAGTGGAGCTTCACAGATGGAGAGAACGTGAGGCCGTCTTTCTGTTTCTTTTATTATCATAAGGCAACAAAAAGTCCCCTGCCTTCATATCTCGGTGGCCTGTCTTGAAACTGAATCTTTTTAGCAGGAGTTTTATGGGATTTCTCACTTGTTATTTCTGCCCTCCCACTTTTTTAGGAGAAGTGCTTATTTATTTTTTTTTAATGAAAAGATAACTGTTCCCTAAGCACATGCTGTTGGCTTTAGCACGTTGCAT